GAGACACAGCTAGGGTTTAGGGTTTTAGCTCAACTCAGAAGAGAGCACGAGTCCTCGCTACCTCTAGCATCACACACCAATCTGACAGCTTCATAGCTGAGAGGAGCAAGATAGTGAAAGGCACCGTAGTAACGTAGTTAGGCTACACCAAAACACTACAGATACATATCTTGGACTAGTTTTCCTTCCACGGAAAAAGTTCAAGCAGGCGAACTTAGCCACAAATGAATGAATGAATGTTTAACTTACCCAGGGGTGAGAGGGGTGGTACATCCTGCCTACTGGACAATGGCGTCCACTCAGGGCCTCAGGCCTCTCAACCAGAATGGGGAGGTCCTGGAGCATATTCATTGAATCATTGTATACCATTTTGACCTGGCAGCAGAATAGGAACTGGACTGTCGCTTCCCAGAATGGTTGGAGCCAGACCACGGCTTCTGTTGATAAATCTGATCTGCGGCTGTCGTTTCGTTTCCGCCTCCTGAAAGGTTGGAGGCCCACTATTTTTCGAACCGACAAAGGTACTAGTCCATTATGAAACAAAAAAAGATATAATACGATTCCAAACCAGATGCAAGGGAGACTACCGAGTACGGGGCTAGAGTATCCTAACTGTGGGATCATCTATTCTCCTCGCCACTTCCCGAACATCCCATCCAACTGCTCCTATGGACTAACACCCCTGCTCGCTTTCGCAATTTGAAATCGCAATGCATCCGGTTTGGGTTATTAATTCGTTAGATGGCCCTTAGGTGGGGCGAGGTCATATGGAAGAAAAGATGCAGCAGTAGGACTTTGGACAACCCCGATAATCCTAAGAGTCCAAGACATTACTCGCCGACTTCGAGAATCATGTCGTTCAGCCACTACTACAATGTCATAATCGAGTTCGTTATCCTCATTTGTGCCGAGTCTGCCGGCTTTTATCTCCTGAGCCGTCCACCCTATAAGAAGACAAAGGTGTGCAGAAACGACAAATTGAATAAGAAGATAAAGGTCGACACAAACGAGAATTATCTCCTCCTGTCGGAATGCAGCCCATGAACCTGCACACATGCGGAACGGACCGCATGACATGGACTCCGAGCTCTACGTCCGAATGCCAAAGTGCATTCCGGGAGGGCAGGTTTGGCCTTGCCGCCTTGAAGTTCAAGTTGTCAAACCAGATCGACGTATTTCTGTACGTGTTGCGCTCGCGGGGCCGAGAACTTCAAGGCGAAAACAGAAAATTACCACAGAGTAACTGTACATCACATCATGACAGCAACTTGAAGACAAATTAACCACAGAACGCAGTCGCCAGCCAGCACCCCTCATGCAAAGCACACACGTATTAGTAGCCGTGCACGGTCAGCTGCGAATCGTTTCTCATCATCATATTAATATGCCTATGAGTAACTGTATATTACATCATGCCTGTAGAACTGAGGAACTCTGCCTCTCACTTTTTGGGAACAATGGGAGGGAAAACAGAATGAGAGGGAAATTTAAGGTACTTGGTTTAAACTTTAAAATGAAAATCACAGTTTTATCACTTATGGGCTTAGGGTTTGAGAAAGACGAGAGCACCCCAGAGGGAAGGTTTGGGGGATAAAAAAAAAAAAAAAAAGGCCAGGGTTTACCCCCTGCAGTTAGTCATCAAATGTCCGAATTGCAAACTGAGTACCTTGAAACACAGAGCTGAGAGCGATGAGCAACATGGCATACAAAATCGGAGTGATGGGCAGCAGAGCATTCAATTTGAAGCAGCGGGCCACTAAGTAGACATGGGCATGACATTGTTGGGATGAACATGTGCTGATCGGTATGGTGCAGTGGATTCCTTGTGTAGCTCATGCCAGTGACAAGCCCAGAGGTTCTTTTGAACCACTAGTACCTTTGCCAGTGTTGGGAAAATAGGGAAAACTGCCAGTTTTCGCATAGTACTCCTAAGAAATTGGGGGCAGGGCCTGGCGAAGGCCACCGTTGATAAATCTCATCGGCGACTGCCGTTTCGTTTCGGCCTCCTGAAAGATCGGAAGCCCGCCTGAGGCCGACATGGAAAAAAGGTACTGGTGCTTTAAGGGCTCTTAACTAATATTTTATCTCGCAAGCTTGACGCTAATACCTTTGCGTCCTCCTCGTTTGTTAGTACAGTAGTGTTGTAGGCAGTATGTCCAGGTTGGTGGGTCTGTTTAGGTGTCCTCAGAGTCTCTTTTTCCCTTTCTTTCTTCTTTTTCGAAAGAGGGCAATGGGCCGACGGCCTCTTTTGCTCATTGAACTGACCGGCCCTAAGTATTTTCAACTCATCTGCTTCCAGACTGAGTGGAGTTCGAGCTCAGCACCTGGTCTGTATTTCAACAGTTCCGTTCAGTTCAATTCAGGGGTGTTTTACAAACTGAGCTAGGCCAGTTGGTCCCGTTTACGACGTTTAGATGTCCTGTTTTCCCCAACCAGGTTTTTTTTTTTTTTTTTTTTTTTTTTTTTTTTTTTCCTATCCCCCCCCCCAACTTCGGGCTTGGTTCCACATCATGCTGCATCACACGCAAAACTCAAACGGTGGCAGCTAAGAAGTGCGTATCAATATTTTTTTTTTTGTTCGCGCACCGCTGCTTTTTTTTTTTTTTTTTTTTTTTTTTTTTTTTTTCAATCTTTTCCGAAAAGGGTGTTAGCCCCTACTAACATCACTGTACTCATCTGACTCCATCAGGATTTTTAGCTCACATATTGAGCTGGTTGCTAACAGGTACAAGTGTGTACCATTCAGCCACATGGGCTGGGTTTGCCCCTTAGCCACCACTTCATTCACTCCCTTCAAGTTTCTCTCCCTTTCTGCTTGTGCGCGGTTTGCGAAAACATCAGACTGCACTTTGTCAGTGCCTGACGAGTCGTGACGACCCATATCCCGGTTTTTTCCTTGTCCCAATTTGCAGTGTTTTCTGCAGTCCGTGATGACATCATTCTTCCAAAGACAGAAACAAAGAGAGAAAACACAAACCAAAGAAGGAATGCCAACCTCAGCTGTTTCGTCATCATGATGGAGAGCCTCAGCTGAGGTAGGCTTGAAGGCGACCTGGAAATCTGTCCCTCCTGTCCAGGCAGCTGCAGACCATTGGTCCTTGGGACTCCTCGCCGCACAACTCACCAAACCGGGACGTCTCCACCACCAGAAAAGGTCGGACAGTCTCGGACTCCCTAAACACTAAACCAAAATCATGCCTTGCTGCACCGCTCAGCATAAACGTCAACTTGCCAAATTTGTATTCGCCGTCCGGAGTCCGGACCCATCCATGTTGGTGAGTGCAGTGTGGCCAGCCTGAGGTTGGTGAGAAAACTACGCATTTCGGGGCCGGGCTTGTGTGCGTGGCAGCACTGCCGCAGCAGGAGCGTCCACTGAGCTGAACCAGGCGCACTTGCACGCGGAGCATCCAGTCGGTGTCCATGCTCCTGGACCTCCGGTATGACCACTCGCACACATGTACTGGGCCAGACATGGTGACTTCATAGCGCCTCTCTCCCCCTCCACCCACCTGTTCAGCTCTCGATTTATACTTATCATTCGTGAGAGGTGTGGGGGCCATGCTAATGATCTATCTTCTCTGTGTCGTTTCAATTTTTACGGATGGCCTGAAGGACCCCACCCGCCTGTTCATACTTGGACGTGGCGCCCATTAATCTCGCACCTGCGAACTCCATCTTCCCTCCCTTGGTCATCTGCCCGTCCTGGAAATGCAGCGGACAAATCGATACGCAATTTCTACAGCGGAGTTGGGAAGTTTCTGCGAAGCCTTGTTTGGTGTCCTGTCCCCTCACATGGGGAAATGCAACCATCGCGGTTCTGAGCTACCTTCTTCCCCCGAATACAATGTACGGTCATTATAGCTGTATCTAAACGGAAATATGCCTCAAATACAGCTATAATGACCATACGTTGTATTCGGAGGAAGAAGGTAGTCCGAGTGTATCGTTTCCCACCCGGTATAGTGTTAATCCGTCGGCTACGGTTGGTTTATCCCGTCCAATTTCTGCGCAGCGAGAGTCACTGTGATGCCCTTACCCTTGCCCTGGGGTGTGCCTGGGTGCAGAGGAGAATCGCATCAGGTCTCAAAATTTACCAGAGACTAAACACATTGCTAAATTTGGACATTTTTTTATGGTGGCAGAGACTGACAGCTCTACCAACTGGCCTAGCTCAGTGCTGTGTACACCCCTGAACTGAACTGTTGCTGAAATACAGACCAGGTGCTGAGTTCAAACTCCACCGTAAGCAGCAGATGAGTTAAATACTGCTATTCTGAATTACCTGGGGCCGGTCACGGCGGTCAGTTCAAATGATGATAATTAAAAAAAAAAAAAAAAAAAAAAAAAAAAAAAAAAAAAAAAAAAAAAAAAAAAAAAAAGAAAGAAAGGAGAGAGAGAGATTGACAGCTCTAATCTTCTAAACAGAGAGACTAACAGCTCTAAGCACAAATCAGTTTTAACTTTTAACTTTTAACACTGACAATTTTTTTTTTTAATTATTTGACGACATTTTGTTTGCGGTTGGAAAATGGAAGATTTTTGCTGTGCTTTTCCTCACTTTCTTTGTGTTTCGGCAGCCTCAGGCCCTCAGGGTGGTGTGATACACTGATAGCCTTAACGAGATGATTTATCATTTCTGTAGCTGAAAATCTTCCATCTGTCTCTTATACACATCGAGATGGAACTTGACCTGTCTCTTATACACATCTAGATGTGTATAAGAGACAGTCTTAAAGTTGTGTGTTTCAGGATCGAGGGTGAAGGGTTTGTAGTTGGAAATGGAAGATTTTTGCTGTGTTGTTTGGGTGACTTTCTTCTTATTAAGTTCTCAAAGTTGTGTTTCAGGATGATAGGATCTCAGGGTGGAAGATTTTTGCTGTGTTTGTGGTGACTTTCTGTGTGTTTGGGCCCTTTGGGAGGGGAAGATCAGCCTCCCAAAACATACCAAAAAAAAAAGCCTCCCAAAACATACAGAAAGAAAAAAAAGCCGCCAATAACACAGCAAAAAGCTTCCTTTGTTAACTACAAAAACCCAAACTGACTGCTCTAGAGTCTAAACACATCATTGGGAGGGGGATCACCCTCCGTCGCTCCCCCCAAAAAAAAAGACACCAGAAACACATAAAAAATATCCCACTCTCATCTGCAGACTCAGACTGACCCTCCTTCGCCAAAACACAACAAAAGTCGTTAAAAAATAATATTAAAAAAAAAACCACCAAAAATCTTCCATTTTCACACAGCAAAAACAAAACCTTCCGCTTTCAACTACAAAGCCGAATTGACCTTCCCAAAACACAAAGAAAGCCACCATAAAAACAGCAAAATCTTAACTTTTCCAAAATAAATACGAACCCACACTCACTCACCGTCCCAAAAAAGCACAAACTTTAACAAGGTCACCAAAAACACAGCAAAAACTTTCCAAACAAACTTTTCACACCAAAAACACAGCAAAATTTTTACATTTTCAACTACAAACCCAGACCGATTCCTCTAGAGTCTAAACACATCGCTACGGGAGCGATACCATCACATGTTGCTGACACACGAACGAACTGCTGGTCAGTGGTTAAGACTGCTTAAACTTTTTTTTACTTCTGGTTTAAAGAAATTGGTTGTAGACTTGTGGTTGAAAACAGAAGATTTTTGCTATTTTTTGGTGACTTTCTTTGTTTTCAAGGAAGGTGAAGGTGATCAACAAAAAATTCAAATATTCTTTCTCGTTTAAAGAAATTGGTTGAACTTGTAGACTTGTGGTTGAAAATAGATGATTTTGGGGGAAAAAAATAATAATAATAAAAAATGCTATGTTTTCGGTGGCTTTCTTTGTTTTCTAGGAAGGTCAAGGTGATAAAAAACCTCCCAAAACACAAAGAAAGGTACCAAACCACAACAAAAATTAAAATATTCCAGTGATCACCCTCCCAAAACACAAAAAAAAGAAGACACCATAAACTCAAACACGGCAAAAATCTTTCATTAATCACCCTCTCAAAACGACGTTACGGTAGAGAAAGTCACCAAAATCTTCCATTGCTCACCCCTCCCGAAACGCAAACTTTAAGAAACTTTAAGGTGGTTTTTTTTTTTAACACGGCGCAAAATCTTCCATTGATCACCCTCCCAAAACACACAAAGATTCTCACCAAGAACACAGCAAAAAATATTTCCCCCTTTTCAACAACAAACAATTTCCGCAAACAGAAGGTGAAAAAAAAACAAAGTCAGTTTTACCGAAATGGCAGTGAATGGTGCTGCGGCACTGCTGCCCCTCCTTGGACCAACTTCAAGGACAGCTGCAGCTGTGCCTGCCATCCCACAGTGGGAACCACATACTCCACCGACAACATTTTGAAATTCCTGCTCTGCACTAAAAAGATCAGGCTCACAGTTCATTGCAGATCATGTCACATGTCAAACCGTGTGTGTATTTAATATAACGGACGTCTAAACTTCCCTAAAGAGGTAATGAATTCCATCGTAAGGAACAGTATATATAGTCAAACAGAGCTGCTTACGGTAAAGCGAAGTCAGAGAGCCTGAGAGAGGGAGAAGAGGGGACAACAATATCCTCGAAGACGCAATCAGAGTCGCGGGCGGGTGTCAGAGCGAGCTCCCACTTACCTGCTTCGTCGTTTCCCGCATCTGATCTCCCTAATGGGCCTAATCATCGTTCAAAAATGAAGTAGGACTTTTCGTCTGCGTGAAACACGGATCCTCCTAATTAGTATCTCCAGACAAAGATAGAAACAGAAAAGAAACGGAACACGAACCAGAAAGAATCTGCCAGACGGGTCCACTCGGCCCCTACTTCTCCGCAACGTTCGGAGGAAAGCGCGCATAGGGCGCTAATCAACAGTCGGGACGCTGGCAGCATGCAAATGTGAACCCCCCCCCCC